ACTGCTAGCCTTACATTAGACTAACCCAATAATTTTCGCCTCAGATGTGTCTATTCTATGACTTGCGGATTTTTGGGGTCACGAAACCGTGCTGTTTTTGATTTTTAGAGTGCCATTTCTTCCGCAACTGACTAGTACCAAAGTTCTTGTGTTGAGAGGCAAAATCTCCCCCTCGCTTATTCATCCTCAGGCGTGAAAAATTACGCCATTAGGCAAATTAACATCTTTTGTTACCTTGTCGCCACGTCAACTTTACCGATGTCAAGCCGTTGTAAACGTCACGTCGGTCCGGACGTCAACTGTCAAGCTGAGTTCGGTGGCCGCCGTTCAAGCTGTCTGTACCACAACTGCCGAACGCAGAAGCCCGCCGGTATCTAAGTCAGCTCCCCGACGTTCCTTCACGCTTCCCATCGAGAGCAACTGGCTAATATCGCGACAGGTCGCAGGTTTTGCGCGTCACCTAAGGTTTCTTGACTCCGCGTTCGTGTGTATGTTTGACGTAGGGTGACTCTAGGTAACATGATAGAATTTTGAGCCTCGGGCCCTTTTTCTTGTTGCCAGAAGGCGCGTATTCGCAACTTTTTTTCAAAGGACTTCGCCGCCGCGCTGCTACGAATTCTGGTGCCGTCTTGTCCGCCCCCTCGCACAACTACAGGGTGTCCCAAAAAAATGTTTCGAACGTTTTATCGTTAATTTCTCTCTTTCCAAGAAGTCTTTTGCCTTGCTTCAGGGACCGTTTTGTAGAGCTGGCTTCAACTTAAATATGCATTATAGAACGAATCACTCATTTCACTTGATTACCGTAGGAATACGGTAGAAACTTCAAAGAAGGTTTTAGGCAATGAAAGGCCATATTTTGCTTTAGAAAAGAAACAAAACAGCCTGAAAGCTTTTACACTAGGCTAATTAGAGTTGCTGATTATAGCTGTAAAGTTCCCAACTTATTATTATGCTTCATCGAAGAGTTATGCCAGGTAAGAGGTAGCGGCCATTTTTTCAATGTTCCTAAAAGGTGCGATTACACCATTTAGAAAGCTTCGTATTCTTGTGAATAGTTCTGTATTGAATTCAGCGTCCATAAAAACCCTATAACACAAGTTTTCACAATTTTTTGAAAAAATTACGGCAGCTTTTTCCACAGTGACACCATAGATTTCAAGTTTTTACCGTAATTCTACAGTAATGAAGAGAGATGGGTGATTCGTTCTATAATGCAAATCTAAGTTGAAGCCAGCCCTACAAAACGGTACCTGAAGCAAGGCAAAAGACTTCTTGGGAAGAGAGATATTAACGATCAAACGTTCGAAACATTTTTTTGGGACACCGGCCCGTAGTAAAGCTCGGTCATGGGAGATTATCTCCCCTGAGACCTTCATGTGAGGTTCTGTCAGTAAAATGACGACCGCCCATTTCCCCATGCTATAGGGATGCAACGTCACCTGAGAGGTGAGCCTCAGGTGAAGTTCGGCAGGGAGATGATCTCCCTGCAGGGTCATGGGAGATGATATGAGCGATGATGTCCAGAAATAGTGTGCTAAAAAGGAAGCGCAGAGAAAATCTTCGTAAGTTGCTCCTGGGTAACTTAAGATACACATTTGCCTAACACTGCGGACAAAATCGGCGCAAAGTTGCACAACCGCGCCCGAAAAGGAGAGGATCGATGAACAGCTGATTTTGGCGAGTAAGACAAAGAAAAACAAATTCTTCTTTTTTTTGTAAACTTAACTGGTTTTTTTTAAAGCTGTCCAAAACGAGTACTCAGCTGTTCATTTTATTAAATTCACGTTGCAACCATTTCGTTTTGTCGCAAAATTTTCGTAACGAAATGTTTTTTTGTTTTATCTTTACGTTTGCTAGGCGAAATCCTTGATAGCGGTCATCATCGATTGGATAGTGGCCGCTATCAAAGATTGCCCGGCCATGCAGCAAAAGTTGTGTCGCTAGGCGGAGTCGAACCACGGCCGCGCGCGTGTAATTCCAATGGCTTACCCATTTAACCAAACCAAAACAAGTAGCTGTTTTTTCGAGAACGACTTGATCATAATGTCCAGGAAGCGATCTGCATCCAGATCAATAGCTCGCCGGATGCTGGACTGAGGCGCCAAGATATCAACTCCGGTCCGCCTCAGGGGAGATGCCCTGACGGTAGTTTACTACGGGCCACCCTGTATAAATAACGTAGTTTTCAAAGCTTTCAAACATATAATCGCCGGGGGCAGATGGCCATGCGATTCATGAGCGGGCGAGCACCGGAAAATTCTTTAATTTCTTGCGGCCCTCTTGCAGATATTTGGAAGAATTTTAGCGAAATTTTAGACGGATGCTTGGAGAACAATTGCGGTTTCCTTACAGATTAGCTGCGGCGCAGTGGTCGCATTCTCGCGGACTTTCCGCGAGAATATGCAAAATTTTTGGGGGCCGCACGGTCCTTCGTAGAGGAGCGCGCAGCCTCCAGGTATTTTCCGCTGAGAGAAAATACCTCAAACTTAAGTAATTAAACCAACGGTGACACCTCTGCTCGACGTAAGCCCGAAACTGCTTAAAAAGAGTCCGAGCGCCCGCAGAAAGTTCCGTGTTACTACCGCTGGTAGAACATTAGACAGTAAAGGAAGTACTGCTCTCTGATTGGCCACGCCCCAAAATTCTGCTGACCGCTTGCAGAAAAGCGCGAGTTTGCGAACCGCCTGCTCCCGGCGGTTATCTGAGCAGTCGGTCGTCGCAGATGTCAACTCGTGAGCGGTCGGGTTCATCTTTCCTCTTCTAAACAATCGATCGAGCAGCGCCTACCTCAACTCACACATGCTTCAATATCAACCGCGCCATGGAGGACTGACCCGCAGACGAGGTAACCTGAGTGCGCTCGCTCCTGACACACGTCGGCGACACCGCCTCAGAGGTTCTCCGACTTGCTAGCCCCTAGGATTGTAAAATTGGGTTGTTTGTACTTTTCCCTTGTGTTTGAATGAGGGAGTATATGCGGATAAATGGTGGGCATGTACAGTCAAATGGATTTCTCGCTTAATATAGTGCTTGCACAGAAGGTGAAATGCGGTAAAATTTGGGCGTGAAGAAGTAGCTTCGACTGTGGCGCCGGCCAATTGCGCGCGCAAGATACCCACAGTACTGGCGTGACTACTTGTTCACGCGCAAATTTCACCGCATTTCACCTTCTGTGCAAGCACACTATAGTAAGCGGGAAATCTACTTGACTGTAGCACCTGTGTTATCGAGCTCGTACATATCTCGTAATTGTGTGTGGTTATCATTTCAGTCATGCCTAGAATGAATAATCGGTGTAAATGCTGGTACGATCCTTGGTAGTGCCAAAGGTTATAGTGACAAGCACCAGGTGTCGATAGTGTTGGATGCAACCAAAATTCATGTTGCTATTATTAGGGTGATCATTAAAAAATGGGACACCTAGAGAATAAATGTAGATTTCTCAAAAAATTAAACTTCCCAATTTTTATAGATGTTAGAATAGATTATTCTCTTTCAGAAAATACCTATATAAGGTCATTTACATAACTAATGATTTTTATAGTGGCTGAAATGCAAAATTAGTCACTTTGACAAATTATAAACTTTGGGCAGTATCTGCGCAGTGAAACATGTGAGACCACCCAATGTACCACTGCTGGATTGAGTGGTGGGACAGTCAGTGAACCCACGATGGCTTAGTGGCCTCAACTTTCAAAGTCAGAAGATATGGCCATTGGCAGCTTCGAGAACACAGATAGATACGCGGTATTCAATTCTTCGCAGGTGAACGCATGTTCTTTAGGTACCTTGTAAAAGAGCTTTTTACGCTCTATCCATCCATATGCAGTTTACCTCACATTTTATCTATATTCGGAAAATACAGATTGAAACTTGATTTACTGGTTTTTCTTGCGCCAAAAAATCGCGATTTCCCAGGTATTTCGCTTTTTTTACCCAGAAATGGAAAGAAATTCTGTATGTTACATACACTGTTTGAAAGAGCATGGACAGCTCTTTCGAACGATATATCAACTGCTCTATATCTTTGCGGTATGGCAGCGCAAGAATGAGCGAGGTTCAAAAAACCCTGTTCGAGTTCTTTAGGGCGCCACGCGTAGGGTTGTAGCGTTGACATTTTGCCAGAATAATAGGCGAAGGTCGCTTATATAAGCGACGTTTACGTTGCAGCCTGCTTGTTGTTGATCGAAACAAAAAAAATCTCAAAATTTGACAAAAATCAAGCTGTCCAATTTTTTAGTGATCACCCTGATATTTTTCTTATTCCTTACATATTAAAGTTTTTGCAAGTGTAAAATGAAATGTAAAACGTTGCGAAGTTAAACATGACGCAGTTTGAAATCCACGAAGTGCCACAAAGTGCCCAGAAATGTCGCATCGAGTTGTTTTGAGCTTCTGCCTGTTTTTATTTTAGTCATATTCATGGTAGATGAACAAACAATAAGAACTTCTACAACCTAACTCCTAGGTGTAGTAGAAGCGTAAAAAAAGAAGTTCAAAAGTTGATATAAGTACTGGAACTTTTCTTAGAAAATTTATCTGCTTAATTTAGGGTTTTCTTTTTACTGGTATCTCAGAAAAGCTTAGAGATAAAAAATCCGTTTTGAGAAGAAACGAAACGATGATTATACGATGAAAGTACACAATTTAATCAAAGCCCATTTACATGGTACTGATCCATCAGGTTCAAAGCATGTGTACCGGCGAAAAGATCAAGTAAAATACGCAACAGCTGCTAAAACTTTACAGCTACTTGAATCAATCTTATTTTGAAGCTAAAAAATAAGCGCATTTATTTTGAGCTACTTCTTATAGTTTGAATCGTGCTTGATCCTAATTTGCGATGGTTACAGAGTACCAGCAAAATTGTCGCAGACATTCAAACTCCGTAAATAGCGGAAGCGATAGCTGCATGTCTCGGCGTAGCTCAAAGTATGAACTATTATATCACCGAAGTAAATACAATATCTTACAAAGAACGAGCTGCAAAGGAGACTTACCTGGAAGGATATAGCGCATTTTTGATCTTCGCATAGTCCTCAACATTCTCGTTTTGCCAAAAAGAACATACTGTTTCTTGGCGTGATTTTAGCAATTGAAAGTGACTGCAATGATGAAATATTTAGTGCTCTAACTTTTTTTGTTGAGTTTAGAAACTTGGCTACTGAGCGAAAAAAATATTTCCTTGAACATGGACCAAAAACGTAGTTTTAGATAAGATATTGTGAAATATTATATTGAGTTGATGCGAAAGATTTTGCGCAACTCATGCAAACTTCAATAACGTTCATTAACGAGTTTTTTTGAAAACAAAAAGGTTTGTTCATGACAGGTGCTAAAGCACAATTTTCTAAGACTTCTAAGAATGAAGCTTTCAAAAATGGCATTTTAAGGCCCGTATGCACGTACATCCCCGCGGGGAGGGGAGAGGATCTGAGAGGGGAAGCGTCATAGCTCGTTAGTCTACATATCTTTCTCCTTCTTTCTCTATCTTGCTTATGAAGTTTCTCATACACTGATACCTTCGCATAACGAATGCCAGGTTACTGTCATAAAGACTAGATATTCAATATTTCGCCTGATCCCCTGGGGATACCCAGGGAATGACCTCACATTTTCAAGCTCATTTATCTTCCTGACAAAGCAATGAAAACGCTGCAAAATTGTACTGAAGATATACTAGGATACTGCTAAGCATGTTTCGATAAGAAATGGAATCTGAAGGTTTTGATTTTTTCGATGATCCCTGGCTCGCGAGCAGCGGTTCATCGAAGATTTTGATATCATGAGATTTCACTCATTTCTACCATAAATATGTTTAGCAGTGCTGTAGTATATCCACAGTACAATTTTAGAGCATTTTCACCGAGTTTTCAGAAAGATAAATAACTTTGAAAATGTGGGTGATCCCCTGGGGATCCCCAGGGGATCAGACGAAATGATGAATATCTAATCTTGTATGGCAGTAATCTGGCATCCGTTATGCGCAAGTGTCAGTGTATGAAAACCTTCAAAAGCAAAACAGAGAAAGAAGAAGAAAGATGTATAGACTAGCGAGATATGACGCTTCTCCTTTTAGATCCCCTCCCCTCCACACGGGGATGTACGTGCATAAGATCTGATCTGTGCTCTCAAGTTTGATGCTTGAATATTGTGGAAAGCCTCTGGCTAAATCAAGAAAATCTGTAGAAAATTCTCACAAAACAATAGTCCATACGTTACTGTAGCAGGCTTCAAGTTTGCATGGAAACGCAAAAACGAAAAATCCGTAAAAAAAGATATAAAAAACGCTGGAGAAAAGTCGAAGTTGTTCAACGTGGACATTAGGCCGCTTTCTGATTTCAAACTGCACTTCTAGAAAAAGTTGCAGCACTAAGGAAATTTTTCCTTCTTATTTAGTCGTTCCGAAAGTAATAGGTTGGCAAATAAGTTTTGCAATTCATTTCTTTACTTCTCTCTTTTTGATTGTGACGCATTCATTTTTGGGCATAATGTAGATTAGGAGTCTACAAATTTACCCAAACAGTTTATTTTTTTGATAGCGTGGAGGGAATTTACGCACTTCTCGAATAAACCAAACACATCAAGCTGAAGCTGGATGGAATATTTTTTTATCAGCAGTCTTTGTACAGTTGAAGCCTGATGCGTCTAATATAAAATGAGAACGGTTTTATTCTTGAAATTTCGAATTCGACCAACTTCTAAAAATGCGAGAGTTTTCTCCACTTCGCCATCAAAACTTAAAAACTGTTTGCGCATATCTTAGCCTACCAGTTAATCTAGTGGTGTACCAGTTAATTTAGTGGTGTTTGCTGAGTTTGTGCTCCTGGTTATTAGAAGTCCACCAATCTTATATAGTAATTTTGCAAACTAGCCAAATTTAAACACTGTAAAAACGAAAGGTTGCGATTTCCAGCATTCAGCTCCGCACCATTCAACGAATCACATCCTATGTATAAAGCTGAATGTGTGTTTGTATGTATGTATGTCTGTCTGTACGTATGTGCGTAATATAAATTTTTATTTCTGAACCGATTTGGACCAAACTTGGCACACATATACTTCGGGGCAGGGAGCGTGTCATAAGATACTTTTCGTTATCGATCAATATCGATTTTATCGATTTTTATCGATTTTTTGCAGAGTTCACCTACGGGGCTGGGGGTTGGGACAGAAGGGTTAGTGAGCATGGCGATTCCGAACACATATTAGTTAACTTTTTAACAAAGTTTAAGTGCAGAGCTGGGAATTCGCACAGGGGGTGAGTGAGCACGGCGATTGCGAGCACAATATTAGTTTTCAGAATTATCGATTACTTTTATCGATTTTCTTGATCTTTTGCAAATTGAGCTCCAGGGCTAAAAGTTGGCACAGGGGGGGGGGGGGTAAGTGGGCATGCTGATTTCGAAGACAACACAGGGAACGGGAAATGAAGTGTAGAAGTGGGCACAGGGAAAGGCTGTACAGGGATAGGGATGGGACCTTTATTGCAGTGTTTTGACAAGGCGAGCGGAGCCGGGTAAGCAAGGTAATAGAGAATATAGCAAACAGGGTCAAGCGTGTTGATGCGATCTTGGACCCTCATTGACGACCCCCCCTTGAAGATACCCATCCGTAAGACCTCCCCCCCCCCTCCTTCCCCCTTCCTCCCCCTTAGCTCCCCTGCCCACATTTCTCGCGGTAATATGCATAAACGAATGTATATCTCAAAAAACACCTGCGTGAGAACTTTAGTGAGGTTTCGGAAGCAGAATTTCTAGGCCAATGAGTGCGCCCAGCATCTCTAGCACATATACACACCTTAAATAATGTTTTTAAGATTCTGCAAGTTTACTTCTGAACTTTCAGGCACACTTCAGACTAGCAAATTCGACTTCCGTATGCGACACAAATTTTTACACGGAGAACTAAATGACATTCTTGAACTGCGAAAGATGTTTTCGACTAAGAAGCTCGGTTCTTACCTCTTCCACAGTTTTTCCTGCAAAAGAAACCGCTTTAGCGCCGTCCAGAGCGACGTCAAAAACATGCTGAACATGGTAGTTCGAAAATTCGTAACTAAGGCCAGGAAAAGACTGAGAGACTGCAAAGAACAGCTGTAGCACAGTGCCCAGTCTATTCATAGAAAAAGTTTCAGCCCTTAAGGAGCAGTGAGCTCGAAAAAATTTAGATCAGGCTCTCGCAAATTTAGATGCGACCCTAAAAAGCAAAAACTGGGATTTTTGACCTTAAAATTTTCTAAATTACCAGGGAAGTTATAAAACAGCCTGAAATTCTTATGATAAAAATTGGAGGGATGGCCTCGTATTACAGCAAGTTTGCAGCTAACAAGCTTCAGTAGCTCCGGAGAAATTTAGATCAGGCGCAGATACGACCCCCCTTTTCTCATTTTTTACTACCATACATAAAATCATAAGAAAATCCACAGTTTATAAAATAACACCAGATTTAGCAGGGCTTATCTAAAGTACATATAAATTGTAAGGGTCGCATAAATGGCATTACAAAAAGGTTTACGAATTATTGATTGTCATCGTTGATCTACATGCGCGCTTTTGTCGAGTGTGCGAGTCTTCAGTGAGCCTTCGGAAGCAGGATGTCTACACCAATCGGTACATCCAACATCTTTATCACACATACATGCCTTTAGTAGCATTTGAGCTTCTGAAAGTGTTTATTTTTTGGATTTTGGTCATGCCAGCAGGGTTCAATTCCCGTTTGAGACAATATTTTGCAGGAGAAATAGCGATTCCCATCAAAAAAAGGAGAACTAGGTCCTAATCTTTCAAAAGTGCAGCAAATGAAGCGAATTTCTACGCTTGCAAATGTTTTCAAGTTATTGTTCACTCGTTTTTATTTGATACATTGGTACACGGCATTCCATGAATTTATTGTTAAGAACATGTAATAATTACTTGCTATTTGATTTGCTTCCAATCATACGGTTTTTTATCCAAACTACCCCCTCTTACGACCCTCCCCTTTCACCGTAGGCCCCCTTTACGACCCCCCGTTGCGACAGTCGCATCACACGCTGACCCTGATAGCAAAAGAGGAAAAACTTCTGCATCTGATACAACTTGAATGTTTATTTATCTGGAATTTGCGAGTCATTCCAAAAAAAACTTTGAGACCGACCTAAATAATGTATTATAGTAGTATAGTATGATATCATGTTACATCAATTTATAATTTAGCAGTGAATTTAATCAAAAAAGCTATTAGGTTGTTGCAAAAATAATGTACGTTTTTCTAGGCCTATTTTCCGAACAACTTTTTTTCCTTCATAGTTTCTTTTTCGATATGGATTTTCCATATCATTGGAAAGCTTTCTTTGTGTACTTTCTAACAGTTGTGAAATTAGGTTTCTATCTCATTTGTGAGAATTTCACCAGCATCTCAAACAGCTGCACTCAAAATCGAAAAGTCGTTGCTTTAAGTCCCTTGGGCCCAATTCAAACGCAAATGAACGGGTTCTTTTGAAAACAATAGCTACTGTATTGGTTGAACACTGTTTACCTATAGCGTATTTAAATAGATTTTTCCAAAATATCTAAACCGAGAAATCGACGCCCCAAAATAGATACTCGCTGCTGGCATTATGGGTCCAAAGTTTGTCATAAGTAGGCAATCGCCGAAGCTTCGCCCATTCCTGTATGCCTGAGGTAGAACATCTTTCTCACAATTTTAGCAAAAAAGCTTAGCTATTCAGTGTATAAAGAATTTCAAATTTCCATACTTTGGGACTTTGTGGCCTTTCACAAATAGGCTCGAAAAAGTGAACAAATTTGAATTTCTATCTTTTCTGTTCGCAGGACTCCTTCATTAAAGTCTCTTCTAAATAGAAGCTATACTACCGGCCTGTGTCTACAAAATAAGCTGATTAGCAGCCAAGGGAACAAAACTCGAAGGGAGTTGTAGTCTCACAAAGACGAGGTTTTTGAAAGAAAATTTTCGGTTTTTTGACGCACGGATTATTCCCGTTTGTGATGTCAGTATATGCAGGTGCGCATCAGGTTAAGAAAGATTTACTGCTTCATATGGTTTTGATTGCATTCAAAAATATGAAGACTGTACAAAGTTATAGCCTATCATAAAGAAATTT